ACCAGGAATTGCATGAACATGAGGAAGCTAATCAAAGATTAATACAGGAATTTTGAGAGCGGGATGAGAATAGGCAAAGATCAATAGAGGCATGCATGCAACCCATAAACAGACAGCTGAAAGAATTTAGGGATACCACAAAGGGAATGCTGAATAGAGCCCAACAGAAGGAAAGGGAGTCCAAGGAAACCATAACCAACCAACTAAATGATTTGAGAATAAACACCGAACACCAAATTAAGGAAGTAAAGAAGTTCATACAAGATCTAAAACAAAGCTCCAACAAAGAATTTGAAGCCATCAAAGCCAACCAATTAGAAGGAAAAGAAATAAAAAACAAAGTAGAAAGTCTTGACAGTAGGTTAGACCATGCAGAAGATCGAATCTCAGGGATTGAAGACAGCCTAGATTTTATAGAGAGAGAACATACAACTATCCAAGACAAATCCAAGAAATACATCTATTCAACATTTGGAAGACACCATCAGAAGGCCTAATCTGAGGATAATGGGTGTAGAGAAGCACCTAGAGACAGAAGTTAATGGTCTAGGAAATTTGTTTAACAGAATCCCAGAAGAGAACTTCCCAACCATGCAAAAAGATAGATATATTCAGATACAAGAAGGTTTTAGAACCCCAAATAGACCAGACCAGAATAGGACATCCCACCATCACATTATAATCCACACAAGATCAATTCAGATATATACTTCTAAACTGTATGTTAAATTGTATGTTCATCCATATTTTAGGTCCATGTGGTTACTTTTGAATATTTTTGTTTGGTTTTAGTCTTTTATTTTGGTTTCCATTATAATTACTGAAAGAATAAACAAATTAAAATGGCCTTGAAACTAGCAAATCCCATTTACAGTGAAGCTTGCATCTTAAAATTTCAAGGGTACTTTTTGAGCAGTCTCACCAGTCAGACCTTTCCCCCTCATAATTCAAATTTCTTCCAGCCTCTCATATATTAAAAGAAAAAGAAGAAAAATAAAAAGTAAATTTAAAAGAAGAAGAAAATTGGGACTGGGAAGGTGGCTTAATGTCTAACATGCACGAAGCTCTGGGTTCTAATCCTCAGTACCACATAAAAGAAATAATTAAAAGAGAAAAAATTATTTAAACAAAAAAGAAGAAAAAGAAAATTATCCCAGTGTTTGAAACTATGGGCAAGGGTTTGGATACTGGGTTTGACACATGTTTTTCTTAGCAGTGAATTAAGAAGTGTGATTATTATATTTTCATAGCTAAAGTGTCTAGTACAGTGTCTGGAAATTAACAAATACAAGTATTATTACTGAGCATACAAAATTGTGTGTGTGTGTGTGTGTGTTCTGGTATTTCAAAATATCTGGGATTTTATGCCCGGTACATTCCAGAAGACCCATGGTAATGAAAAGGAGCAGAGGCATGAATAAATCATGACAGCAAACCATCCAAACACCATTTGTCTCTGTTTTGAAATATATTTTTGAATTTCATTTCAAATGTCAGTTTCTAATACCCAAAGAAATTACTTCAAGCAAAGAAATGGTGCTAGGATGTGAAGTTTGAACTAAACAGGATCTGAAGAATATCCAATTTTCCTCTGCTCTCTTCTCTCCCCGCACTTCACCTGTCAGAAGACAGCTGCATCAAAGAACCCACTTCAAGCCCAGTTCCTAGCTTCTGCCCTTCTCTGGATCAGAACCACTCCTGAACTGCTTGTGCTTGCTGGCTTAGAGGCAAGCTGGAATCCCAAATAAAAGCAGCAGGTGTGCACAAATTGAGGAATAGGTTAGAGGTCAGAGACAGTGAAGTCGAGAGAGGCAGTATAGAATGCTCACCAAGAGAAAGAGATCTGTCATCTGCTATCACAGTTACTGGGGTTTTAAGTCATGTTTGCCTTATGTGATACTGAGCAAATTACTAGCTAATATATATATATATATATATATATATATATACCATCTGTGTACCACAAATGTGTAATAATATCAGGTACCTTGTATAAATTGTTAAAAATTATATTATACTTATACTTAAAAATAAATATAATTATGTGTATATAAACATATGTGTATATAATTATATTTATATACTATATATAAATATGCATTATAGATTTATATAGCTAATATATATGATATATTTATATTATATATTTGGCATATAAATCACTTATCAGAATACTTGTTTCCAAAAAGTACTCATAAGAGATAGCAGAAATTACTAATAACTTTCAAAAAATTAAACTTATTAGCAATTTCAGTAAATAAGGAAATAGATAATCAAATGATATATACTTTTGATTTTCCTTTTTTTTGAGGGGGGGGTTCAGTCATGGTACTTGAACTCTGGGTGTTGTCCCTAAGTTCCTCAGCTCAAGGCAAGTGCTCTACCACTTGAGCCACAACACTACTTCCTTGATTTTCCTTTGAATAATAAATTCTTACTTCATGGCCAAGTGTTAGAGTTTCATGCTTGTAATCTTAACTACTCAGGAGACTGAGATCTGAGGATCAAGGTCTGAAGCCAACCCTGGCTGGAAAGTCCATGAGATTCTTATCTCTAGTTAACTGCCCCAAAGCCAGAAGTGGAGCTGGAGTAGTAGAGTTCTAGCCTTTAGTAAAAAAGCAGAGACAGTGTGCAGGCCCTGAGTCCAAAAACTCCAGGACCAGAAAAAAAAAATCTTACTTAAAAACTGATGATTTTCTACAAAAATCTGTAATATATTTTGTTGGAAGTAACTGAAAACTAGACCCTTCACCTCATCCAGCATCTAATCCCTAAATACCTCTAACTTTTAAACAAGGTGTTTTCCTGTGTGATACTTAGGAGATAATGTGTGCTCTCTGTCATCATAAAGGAAGTGTTCCTTCTGTTTCAAATTATTACAAGATTTTTCCACATGAAAAACAACCAAGCACACACATATCAGTTGTGATATAAGAGATACTTAGAAGAGAATAGCAATAAACAGAACGACAGTGGGTGCTTACAGATCAGTTCTTCTGTACTATGCACTGTTGTAGTGATTATGCTCATGCCATGATTGTGTATGATAGTTCATTTAATATTACTATCCCAATTTTACTGTTGAAAACCAAACTTAGAGAAATTAGATAACTTTCCCAAGATCACAAGATGGGGAATAGTATACACATTATAGACAAGGGAAACAAATCATTTGTGGACCATTAAGACACTTTGGAACACAAACAGGAGCAAAAGCAGTAGAGAAACTTCACCCTATGCTTGAAAACTTAACACTTTGCATACCTACATCATTTTTTAAAGACACTCATTGTTCGTACTCTATTTCTACCCGAGAAACATATCATTCTAATACTCTAAGATGATCATTAGTATGCTCTATGTAAGGCATTCTAAATTAAACCCATTAGTGCTTGTGGTAAATAAAAATGAGTTTGAGCTTCCGACAGAATGAGCTTCACTTCAGGGAACCAGGCTTGGCCAATATTTTCATATGTTATCTATAACCTTTCACAATAGAAGAGTGAACAAAGTACTGGTTCATTAACTTGCTAATTGTCCTTCCTTATCATGGTGATTAGCTGGTGTTCTGCCTTCACTGACTTCAATGAGTAGACATCCTTGGAGCATATAGAAGGGTGGATAGTGTCCCTGTCCATTGCTGAAGATGAAATCAATATCCAATTCCATACAGTAAGCAGAGTCACTGACAGCTGATTTCCTGTCTGGGGCTGTCTTCAATAGAGAATCGAAAGACAACAGTTTTCCACATCATAAACTCCTGAAAGGAACTCCTAAGGACACCAATTACTTTTGATATCCAACCCCATTCAACCATTTACACTGAATGCAAGTCAATCTACTAGGAAAATCTCCATTCTCTTGTATCTGGCCCTTCCTATGCATACACAAATGTATCATGTCCCATCAGTTCTGAAGCCTTTCTTTATCTTTATTAACTTATGGGTTGCACATCATCTCACAATCAAAGGAGGATCATTGTTCAACTGGTAGCATTTTTTATTTCTCTTTCTCATACCACTTAAAAGTATGTCTTTATAGATGTGTGTGTGTGGCCTCAAATTCTCCAGGCCACATAGTAACATAAAACAGAAAGAGCCAGTTAAAATTTAAAACTAAATAGCAGATAGTAGGAAATTGGACATAACTTCTTTACCAGATGGCTACTATCCGAGTTAATACACATTTCTTTCTCTATTTTCTCCTTCAGAAAAACAGAAGGGATCAACTGCTGGTATTCCTGGTATCTTTCTGAATCTGTATTATTATCTGTAGAATACCAGCTCTTTAGTGGTATCTCTGTGTGTCTCACTCACTGAAATGTATTGGATGCTCCGGGGAGCTTGTTAGAAACCCATGGTCCTCAGCTCTTTCCCAGATATTGGGATTCACATGGTCCTTGGCCAGTCAGATTTGGATTCAGAGGCCTAGGTAGCTGTCTTGTTGTTGTCTTTGTGTGTCGTGTGTCTGTGTGTGTGCATGTACATGCACATGTGCACCAGTCCTTGAACTCAAGGTCTAGGCACTGTCACTGAGCTTTGTTACTCAAGACTAGCTGTCTGTCACTTGCACCACAGCTCCACTTTCAGCTGTTTGGTGGTTAACTGAAGAGTCTCACAACTCTTCTGCCCAGGCTGACTTTGAACAGTAATCCTCAGATCCCAGCCTCCTGAGCAGCTAAGAGTACAGGTGTAAGCCACCAGCACCCAGCCATAACTGTCATTTTAAACCAGGTGTAATTAGGATGCACACAAAGTTTGAGAAGATCTGGTCTATGTGTTTAGAATTGGCCTGTCACTGCCAAGGACTTGAACTATAAACTTTGGTCTCATTAATATGCACAGGACTACATTTACTAGAAATGATCGTGATTACAAAAGGCAAATACACTGACAAAAGAAGGAATTCTGACATTGTAGTGTTTCTTTGGGACTGAGACTGAAAGATAGAGCATGTATTGATGATGTCCCTCATACTTATTTCTGTTGGGGTCTTTTTAGCTGTGCCCCATAAAATTGGACGCATCATTGATGGGAGTCCTGCAGATCGCTGTGCAAAACTGAAAGTGGGAGACCGGATCTTAGCAGTGAACGGCCAGTCCATCATCAACATGCCTCACGCTGACATCGTGAAGCTCATCAAGGATGCAGGCCTTAGTGTCACCCTTCGCATCATTCCTCAGGAGGGTGAGTACCGCAGGGCAGCCTTGCCGAGAGAGTCAGGACATGGGCATGCTGCTGGGGTCTCCAGGGTCCTGGAGTCCTCTCAGCTGCTGTCAGAGATTGACCATAATTTCCACTTTTGCACAAACTCACACTCAGTTGTATCCCACATTCTGTTTCCTCACCACCAATTTCATTCAGAAATCAAGGTCTGTGGAGTTACAGGCTAAATAGTGTGAATCCTAAGACAGGGGCTTTTCTGATCCTTTGGTAGAGGAAGACCCTCAGTGTCATTTTTTTTAATGATGCTCATTAACCCAGAGTTCGATAGACAGAAAAGATAGAGTTGCAAGCCTGAACAATGAAAAGAAAAAAAAAACTTATTTATCTCCGGAGGATTCTTCAAAGTCAGATTGATTTTGAAAAGCTTCAAGAAGTTTTGTGGTGTAGGGAAATGTGGCATCTGATAGGAATTTAAAATTCCCACTCAGCCTTTGAATTTCTCTGTACAAGGTCTCCCCCCTGAGGTTGCAGAGTGGTAAAGATCGCAGCTCACAATCATGCCTTTAAGGGGCCTACAGTTCTGAATTGGCAATCCAGCATGTGTCTCTCACTTCCACACCCAGTGGGTTCATTACTAGTTTGTAGCTGCTGGTTTGTTAATGTCTTCCAAGAGTTCCATCACTGGAGCTCACTGGTGAATGAACCATCATGTCCCACATAGAGGCTGATAGGCCTATTTGCTACCCCCTGTTTTACTCAGTACTCCTCCTCATTCCATTTTAGGATTATCGATGTGCAGACACTAAATGGCTACACAGACACTTGACTTTAAATGTAAGACCGTATTCTCAACCAGGGTGAAGTGGGCTCCCTGGGGGACATTTGGCAATCTCTACAGACAATTTTAACTGTCATGATGGGAGTAGGGATGCGACTGTCATCTAGTGGAGAGAGGCCAGAGATGTCACTAATCATTCTAAACTGCACAAGACAGCCCTTCACAGCAAAGAATTTTCTGGTCTAAAATGTTAAGAATGTCAAGGGTGAGAAATGCTGATAAAAATGGAGAAGAAATTAACATATGTGGGCTATGAGAGAAGAAAGGGGTGTGGAATAGAATGCTAATAGATCCTTCCCCTTTTGTCACCCAACCAGAGAAAAAGAAGACAAAGACCATTTCTCAAAAACCTGTCATCTACAGACATAAACATATAAAATACCCAATGGAAATAAGCCCTATGCACAGTTGATCACTAAAACTCTGATGTGCTTCTCCGTCTTCCTGATGTGAAATGTGTTTGTTCATCCTATGGAGATGATTTCAGTGGGAAATTTTCTGTTATTCGGGATAAAAAATAAAGCAGCTTTCTGGCGGGAAAGAATAGTTTTAGAAATCTTCCTGAGCTCAGTGTTGCCCTTCTTTCCAAAGAATTTTGGTACAGATACAGAAGGTTATTAGATGATAAGACTGGTAGGTGACTAAAGTAGAAATTATAAAAAGCACTTATGCCATTTAAGATTACCTCTTTGTAACCCCACTATGACTTATAGTGGTCTATGACTCCAATGCCAGCACTTAGGAGGTTGAGACAAGAGGATCTTGAGTTTGAAGGCACCTTAAGCTACAGAGCCCTTTTCATAGAGTTGAAGAGTATGACTAAAACATTTTCTGTCAGCAAAAAAATGTTGGGATGTGTCCGAGAGGTTCTGTCTTTTCCTTTTTTTCTTAGTTTTTACTGGCGTTTTGTTGTTTGGATTTGGATGGGTTGTTTGGAGGTTAGGTTTGTCTGGGTAATCTTTTCTTCTGACAAGGTAACAAGGTAACCTCGTCTGATACGGTTGGTTATAAGTAATGAAAGAACACTCATTGCAGGAGTGGGTTGAACCCTGCTAAGTTTAATCTACTGAAACTGAAGTGATCCAAGTCTTGAACTCATCTGAAGAGGCAGAGTGTCTACCTCTGATCACCACTTGCCCCGGATCAAATGCCAACCTAACCACATCTGCTGCTTTGGTTCCTCATCAGAGCTCAACAGCCCAGCTTCGGCACCCAGCTCAGAGAAGCAGAGTCCCCTGGCCCAGCAGCACAGCCCCTTGGCCCAGCAGAGCCCTCTGGCCCAGCCAAGCCCAGCCACTCCAAACAGCCCTGTCACCCAACCCGCACCACCTCAGCCACTTCAGCTGCAAGGACATGAAAATAGGTAAAGTTTTCTCTAATTCTGAGAGATAAGGGAAGGTTGGCAAATGTTTGGCGACAGTTCTGGCTATAGGCAGAGAGAGAGATTTTCATATAGTAGAATGTACTGTCATTTTATGTAATTTTGAGATGTATATGTATATGTGTATGTGTGTGTGTGAGAGAGAGAGCGAGAGAGAGAGCTTTTATTAGGAAATATAGCTAGATTGTGTTCTTCACAATAAGAGAAATTGTCCTAGAGAACAAAAATGAGAAACTGAAGATAGGTAGAGTTACTAGATGAAGAGCACACTCAGGAGAGTCCAACTGAAGAATACTTACAAAGGCCTAACTAGAGGGACCATTGCAAGTGTGAAGGACAAAGGTCAAGGTCATGGTGATTGAAAGAGGATGAGGGACGGGACATGGTTTGAGATGAACGAGTGAGGGCAGCAGGCCCACTGTAAAGGTCCTTATAAGTATGCTAAAGGGTCTGATCTTTATCCTACTGTGGTGGAAATCTGTAGGGTTTTAAGATGACAGCTGAAATCATTGCATATTGCTTTTTTTAAGTAAATTTTTATTGTAAAAATACTATACAGAGGGGTTACAGTTACATGAGCAAGGTAATGAGTACATTTCCTATCAAGCATTGTTGCCTCCTCCTTTGTTTTTCCCCTACCATCCCTTCCCTCCTCACTTCCACAACTACACTCCCCCCCACCCCACCGCCCCCACCTAAATTGTAAAGTTCGTTTTTCACCATAGTGTCTTGTTCATCTCATTGTTACAATGGGTCAACCTGTATCCCCATTTAAACATTTTGTTTTTTCCCTTCCCCTCCCTAAATGAGAGAAGTGCATATACAAGATGCCCGGCACCAACATCAAATACAGTGAAAACAAGGGTTAAACTATGGGGGAGGAACCTACAAAGCAACAACAAAAATCACATGATATATTATAAATTTGTTAGAAACAATAGCAAGAAAGAAAAAACCACTTGTATCCCTATCTTGGGGTTCATTTCACTTAACATCATCTTATCTTGTCATAATATACATAGCTTTTGACCTTTTCTGTGTGTCCCAGACATAGACTAGTTATTGCAGCGTAGAAGAAGGAAATATGCAAGGATTCCTTAGCATTCTTGTGTACTTACACTTTTAGGTTGCATGGCAACCGTACATCCTCCTACCCACAATCTGACTTCCATTCCACACATACAAGCATATGGACTAATATGAACAAGTCACTTTAAATCTCTAGAAAAGGGAGTGTCAAACAAAAATGGCACTGCTTCTTATTGTGAGTGGTGTGTAACAGACAGCCTGGGTTGAGTTGAATGATTAAAGAAAAAGAAAAGGTGTCACCATGTAATTTACCAGAAGCACATATACCATGTGGTTACACAGATCTGCTCACCAGTCTTACCCAGGATTGCATGGGTCTCTGAACAGATGCTTCCCATGTCCAGTCTTCCATGTTGATAAGATTGGAAGGAGATTGTTTTTTATTCCCAGATCTCTGTGGGTTCCTTATTCACGTTGTTGCAAAACTTTTCCCTGTAGCCCATGTAAGATTTCTGTAAAGTCTGTTCTACTGTAATATTTCCCATGTGCTATCATGGAAAGCAAATGTCATTTGCTATCAGCTACTTACCTTTCTAATATATTGTAGAGATGAGAAAAGCCCCATAAAGCAAATGATGCAGAGGTAAGAACTTGACAAATGAAAAACCAAGACCATAGAAAATGAAGACCTGGGCACTTTAGTAATTAGCTCCTAGATGTGTTTGCTTTCACTATTTGTTACCTCAATAGATAGCTCTAACTTTCCCCAGGACCCAACTTAGACTCAAGAGGAAAGACTTAATCCTAGCAGTCCTTGACTTTGCCATTCTAGATTAATCTTTCCACCATAGTCTTCCCTTTCCAGGGTTGGACACACTGGATGTGGGACTTGCTTCTAGTCTTTGGTGGGTAATCTCATCCTTAGATGACTAGTCTTATCTTTCCTCAGTGTGCTCTTCGGCTAGTCTATCCTTACTCCTCCACAACTGCGCACTGTTCCTCCAGGAAAGGTTGGATGGAATGAAGGATGGAGTCTGAGGGTCTCATGGTTCTATGGGGTGCACAGTGGAGTAAGGCACTCTGGCTGCTAGCTCAAAATGGAGGCACTTTAGCCCCCATCACAGTAGCAGTACACATTGGAAAGCTGCTTTTCCTGACTACAAAATCAAATACTTCTTAACCCTGGGTTTAACCTGATCCAATTTTGTATAAATTATCATTGTCTTTGCCTATAGTCCTCATCTTATTTTTCATCAATAATATTAACACCTGGTCAATGCTACTTCAGTCCTAAGACCTTTTTAACAGGTCTGCATTTGGGCTTCATTCGGGTTTAAGTCTTTGAAGGTTAGTGGTGGCTCAATTATATATCATAAAGAGATCCTTTTTTCCACAGATATCATAAATGTTTTCATAATTGCATTGAAAGATGTCAAGATGCCGAGGAAAATTCTTTGCCTTTTTCTAGATTGAGCTAGAGATGGCTCTATTTCGGTCCATGTGACAAGTGTTTTTTGTACAAGGGGGCCCACCTACATGTTGGAATGAGCCAATTCCCATGTTAGAGCGAGAGCAATTTGCCCACAGATTTCTATTTTGGGAATTAGAATAAGTCATATTTTATCCTATCTTATTTACTCCTAGAGTAAATTCCCATGGCTCCCTGCACAACTGTTTCTATTTCTATGTCTATTTCCCTCTCCCCTGACATTTTTGTGTGTACGTTCACAAAATGCGAATGAACTTTAAAATGAAAAGGTATGAAATACTATTCACAGAATAGTATTTGTTGAAAACAAACAAGAGTCACATTGGAGCATATTCCCAAATGAAATATAATAGTAAAATTCATCTTCTCTAATGAGGGCAATCATTATTTGACTGCAATTTAAAATAGCAAAGTTAATAGAAAAGCATTAGAAATGTTATTTTTCTCACAGACCTTGCAGCCTAGATGTTTGAGGCAGGAAAAATCTCCTTAAGGTCCCAGAAGATGCAGAATTTTACCTGGACTGCATTAATTCTGGATCTTTTTTCATACTATAAAAATTTACTAGGATTTACCACTAACAAGTTTTATTACTTCTAAGTCTGCTGATAGAACTAATAGCTACAAAGATCTAATTTTTTTGTCTTTTCATTAACAAAAGAACTTTATAAATCCTGTTTTCTTTTTCTCAAATAAGCCTTCATTTTCCTTAAATTTTTTCACATACTCAGAGCAACCTGAATTTTTCCTTAATCAGTGAGCTACTCTCTTAAAAGTTAGAAATCCTCATTAAAACATAGTGTGTTTTCCTTGTTAATGAGTGCTCAGTTCCGCTGGAAATCCTGGCATGTGACTCTGGTGTAGCATGAAGTATTTGGTGGGCTGGATGACAGCTGTCACAAGTGTCTACTGTCCTATTTCTAATCACTTGTGTAATCTTTGGGGAGAGTCTTCATTTCACCCTTTTTTCCTTTACCTTGTGACACATCTGGTTGGAAACGAAGCACATAATGGATATTTCATACCAATACCACACAGATCATAAAAAATAAAGTACCTGGGCTATAAGTTAAAACAGCATGACATCAAAACCACCAAGCAAACCATTTCTAGAAAGGAACCAGCACTCATGGACAGATGCCAACAGTTCGCTTCCTTTTGTTTCATGCATGCATTTACATAGTTAAACATCTTGTTCAAAGCATATTTTAAATAATTCTCTTCTCGGCATGTACACTCTCAGTAGGTGAGTGGACTGCTGAGGAAGAAAGCCAAGATTGAATTATGCAACTCACAAAAGAAATGAGTCCCCTCTGCAAGGTTAAGTAACAAATGGCACCTGCTCGCAGGATTGGTTGAAACAACTCCATTACCAACTCCCTTCTAAGAACCTCAAAGAAACACATCCATACTCCAGCACTTCCTGTTTGTCCTCACCAAATATTGGATTATCCTAATGGTAATTGTTCAAGGTAGTCATATTTTTCAAATATGCAATACTAATAAGTATCCGTGAGACTAAAAGCCAATAAAGAAATTATCTGGTCTTCAAGGTAAAATGATAAAGGTAAAATGAGCTTCTCAAAGTCCTAAATATACAAGCAGACTCCTAGAAGCAGTGGCTACCACAAGTTTTGATGGCTGGGCTGGGCTCATGCAATCATTCTCATCTCCTAACAATTCTGGGATACCAAAGCAAATCCCCTTTCAATTTATTAGTTACAGGTCAGAAGTAAAAGCAAGGCAAGATGTGAAACCAGACATACGACAGCCTCCGTTCACAGACTACAGGCAGCCTCCACTGGACTACAGGCAACCCCCAGGCGGGGACTACCAGCAGCCCCCACCATTGGATTACAGGCAACCTCCTCTGCTGGACTACAGGCAACACTCCCCTGACACCAGGCAGTACCCTCTGTCAGACTACAGGCAGCCGCAGGTACCTCAGCTGTAGACAATGGCAGCTCCACCAAGACTTCCCAACGTCCAAAGAATGAAATAGGAAGGGACAGAGGGAAAACACCCTTCTGGGATAGTGAGCCAAATCCCTGTTCCCTGTTCTGAAGTTATCACAGTAACACCTGCATCCCCAAATGCATTGGAGAAATGAATCTGTTTCAGAACAAAGCAGGACAATCCATCCATCCACCAATCCATCAGTAGTGTGTGGGTAGTAACCTACTGATATGAATGAGTACGCTACTTTCTGGGGTTTTTTAAGCTAGTATCTGAATTCTCAGAATACAGCTACTGCAAATAATTTCACATTTGTCAGAAACGGAGGTATTTTAGGTCCATAATGATTTACTAAATCCTATTCTGTGGCAAAGGCTGAGCTTCTCTGAGAAGGGTCAGGCCAGGCTGGGCTTTATTGTCTAAACTATAACTTCTGCAACTACCACCAGGTTCCTGTATGCACAATCAAGCATGCAACTGTTGTAACTATTTGTTGATGTTAAATGTACCTCATGAGAACTTCCTTAGCCTCTCTGGGCTGCTAGTTCCTAAAATGATGCCAGGCTAAGGATTCAACATTTGTGAAGGGTGTCTAGACCAGAGCTGAGTTCCTAGTAAATATTCACTACCTGGCAAGCCAGATAATAAGATAAAAAAATAAGTTCAACTTCACTTTCAGATAGTGTTATGTTCTCTTAGGAATTGAAGATCACCTTTACTCTAGAAGAGTTTAACAACAGTGAAGGTCAGAAAATCTGGAATTGACATTTAGGAAAAGAGAAACTGATTTTGTGCAATCTAATTTGATATTCAGTATTCTATGCAAATGCAATGGAGAGATAGAAACAGACCCCATTAAATTTCACTTTATGTAACTCTATAATTAACACACACACACACACACACACACACACACACACACACACACACACACACACACACACAAAACTGACCTATTTATGGTGTTCACAGTAGTAAGGAAAATCAAATGATGCCATTTGGGCTTTTATGTACTAATTCCATGTATTAAGTAAGCCATGGAAGATCAGCATGAAGTACATAGTGATACTATTAATGACCACATTTAACTGCTCTGATCTGCTCAAACCTTTGAAACAGTTCCTTGTCTTTTCATTTTTTGTGAGTTCAGATTGCTTCTTACAACATCGTGTCACTTGGAACATTAACTAGGAGAGGGATAGAGAACAGAGAAAATGACCATAGAAGCTTCTCCAATACTAATCAGTTGTTTATTCCATTTTTCTGAAACCCAAAGGATTTTGATTACTTCACTGTGGACATGGAGAAAGGAGCCAAAGGATTTGGATTCAGCATCCGTGGAGGAAGAGAATACAAAATGGATTTGTATGTGTTGAGATTGGCAGAGGATGGACCAGCAATAAGGAATGGAAGGATGAGGGTAAGAGTATGTCTTTATAAAGCTCCTTAATTGTGAACGAAAAACCCACTGTGGTTTCAAAAAGGTGCTAAATGTGTTCTATCAAGCAAGCAGACTTGAATCCTGCTTTATCTTTTTCCATTTCATGATACTTTTTCTCAAAGATTTTACCACTCTGAGAATTATGATGCTTTTCATTTTTTGTTTACAACCTTCTAACTGATGAACCTCAAAAGATTGTTACTTTGTCTAAAGAGCAAAAAAGAAAATGAGCAGAGGAAGGAAATGCAAGAAATAACTCAAAATGGTGTCACTGCTCCATAATCTTTCTATGATTAAGTGATGCCATTTTCATTTAAGTTGAATCTTCTGGAATTTGTCTTTTATTTTACATTATTCCTCTGTGTTTATTATCAAATGGTCTTGTGTTTCTTGACATGTCTTTTGGCTTTGATTTGCACAGATAGACACAGTAAAGGAAGGGGAATTGTGCTTCTTATATATCAGCTGTCCATAAAAATAATACTGAGATATTTCCCAATTAGAATGCAAATTGAGGGTTGATTTTAGTAGAATAATTGCTTTGAGGCAAGTGATTGATGAGATGACTGATTCTTCCCCAAAGACACAGGATACAAGACAGACAATGTGAACATTTAGAACACAGAACATTAGGCAATCTCTTTCTCTCCCTTTCCTCCTCCTCCTTTTCTCTCTCTGTCTCTCTGTCTCTTTCTCCTCCCCATAAGTACACAATAAAAACCAGTTGTTATTGTAAATAAAATTTAGAATTCATTTTTGTCCTCCAGGCTCTTAAAATTAATAAGGAATAGCTCTGGCTTTGATTTTGGAACTTGAGACACTCAGCAACTAATTGTTACTGAGTAAGATATAGAGATAGAGATAGATACACACACACACACATGCACACACACACATACACACACGTGTGAGCGCGCACGCATTCATATATTTGTGCCAATATTGCAGCTTGAATTCAGGGCCTACATTCTGTCCCTTAAGATTTTTTTCTTTTTGCTGAAGGTTGGTGCTCTGCTTCCAGCATTTTGCAGATCAATTGGAGATAAGAATCTCATGAGCAGGCTGGGAAGGTAGCTCAGTGGTAGAGCACTTGCCTTGCATGCTTGAGGCCCTGGGTTCGATTCCTCAGCACCACATAAGCAAAAAAAGAAAAAAGCCAGAAGTGGTGCAGAAGTGGCTCAAGTGGTAGAGCGCTAGCCTTGAGCTGAAGAGCTGAGGGACAGCGCCCAGGCCCAGAGTTCAGGCCCCACGACCGGACCCAAAAAAAAAAACCAGAATCTCATGAACTTCCCATGCCCCCAGATGGCTTCCAACCTCAAACCTCAATCCTTATATCTCAACCGCCTGAGTAGCTAGGATAACAGGCATGAACAACCAGCACCCAGAATAAAACAGGCTATATTTTAAGAAGTCCTTGATGTGAATGATGCAAGCTGCAGCTGGAGAATTTCTGTTAGAGGGAGCTGTAGCCACTCCAGTCTGATGAAGATGTGATACATGTGGTTCAGGCTCTGTTAGTCTTCTCAAGACTTTTATCTGAGGAAGTTTCCATTCAGTTCCAATGATGTACCTCATGTCCTTAAATCCAGGTAAACACAGAGTTAGAACTTTCTAAGCATGTGCTCGGTTTTATGAAAGATGCTTCTCCATCTGGCAGGTGATAAAGATGTGTCCTCTGCCTAGATGGTATTTTTACATCTAGTCAGGGATTATTAAAATAGGTAATGTTTAATCATTTTCATTACAATCTTCTGAAGCAATCTATTGCTTATATGTACAAGCTATTGAGAAGAAATTATTATGGCCATTTTTCGATAATATGGGTTAGTTTACCTTGCTCTACAATAATAGATTTCATTTACTTCTCAAAGAAAATGAGCTATATTGGAGGCCAGAATCAGATATAACTGGTTGATCTTTTTATCTCTGCTTATTAAGCCTGGGAACTTAGCAAAGAGAAATAAGGTGATTTCTGCTATTTATGGGTCATGGTTGATATTCCAGCGTATGAGGGTGTCTCTCACTCCTGGATTCATATGGCAGAACTTAACTGGGGCATCAGACTCCATGTCAGAGGAACAAGCCACTTCACAGTAGATGTTTGACAATGTTTGTATTATCTACAGTCAGAAGTAGACAATACTCTGGCTCTATAGACTTAACACTCGATAATTGTACTTGATCACAACACATGAGCAATTTGGATCTTATTTTATGCTTTTGTACATATTTGATCATTTAAAGCTAATCCTTTCTATCTTCATTAATGCTTATCAAAAATTAATCATTCATAGATATATTTAAATCAGTTCGGCAAGGACTAGAATGGATCAGTATTTATATGACATGGGTTTATTACCTTAAATGGATGTGTAAGTTGTATAATATCTAGGTTATTAATTTGGAAAATATACAATAAAATTAGTTGGGTAACCAGTTATCATTTTATTGTTCTATCTAATACTTTTGGTATGTAGATACATATAAAACTTAAATGTCTGTGCAGGTAAGACTTTGCAAGGCAATTGTCAACTACATTAATATTATGATTGGCAAATTTCTAGAACTCCTGAGAGTCTGAGATATTCATGATATTCCTAGATATTCATGAGCTATCCCCAAAAATTAGCTCAAAAAGTAAAAAGGGGAAATTGGCACCAAGCTTTTCCTGGCCTTTGAATCATCAGACACAATTCTCCTTGTTAATGTTTTCCTCACCATCCATGCCAGTGCATTATTTCCTTTATGCCAAACTAAACAAGCAGACATTTCATGACCAAACACAGTTAAGAGATACTGCCTATTTTTCTACTTTTTCCCATGATTAGGAACAGAATTAGAAAGCCAGGAAATGATCAGATACCAGGCTGTCTAAGATTAAATTCAGTATAGGAAAATCAGAATTACAACCAAAAAACTTGAATGACTCTGAAAAATCATTTCATATAATAATGAATACATTACCATGCCCTGTGGTTAGGAATAGAAACAATGCTACTTTGATCACTTTGTTTATGCATCTAATTTTAGCCTCTGAACCCGAGATTTGTCCTGTGTGTTTTATGTTAGTATGGCTGTAGGAAAACAGCAGTACAGAAAAAGAGTACAGGAATTCAGCAAGGCCCAGGTACAGTGAATGTGAGGAGATAGTCAACAAGGAAGAGAGGATATTGTTCTCCCTCAAGGATTCTGAGAATATGTGGTAGAGATCATGTTTAACACTTGTTCTTAGGTCTCCAAGTGGTAGCAAATAAAAGTAAGAATGAACTTTCTACCCAGAGGCGTTTTCATGGAATACATGAAGGCTGAGAGTACACATATCCCCAAAGCCAGTCCCTACTTGATTTTACTCTAGGCTTTCTGAGAACCTAAAGCATGAGAATTATTTTCAGATATTTTTAGCCAATTACATGATTTGCCTTTCAAACTGATTAGTAAATATACCCACAAAATGGTTGTTTTTCCCTCCCAAGAGCATTGTATATTTGCTCAATTTTTCATATGAATCAAAACCTTTCCACTTGATAGAAAATGTCAGATCAGCCAAGTAACCTAAGATACACAGTACAAAGGTTCTCACAAAATTTGAGAATATACTTATAGTATACCATGATCAGAAAATTGTGACTCTTTTGAAAAAAAGAGTTACAAACCAAAGGCCAAATACAGTTTGGGGTATGATGAACTCCTTTTTAAATCAATTAAATGCTTGTTTAATATTCTAAGAACACACTTGAAAGTAACTAAGCAAATAATTTTTCATAACAAATCCCATTATTTTGTACAACCATTATATACCAAAAAGAGAAAAGTATTAATAATGGTGATCTATATGATCTATTAAAGAAGAAACATCATTTCACTTTATGAGCCTTAGTTTCCAATAAAATAGAAAAATTACATCACCTTATAGAGTTGTTGGAAGATTTTGAAAAATAGACCAGCAGGCAATATTGATTTTTTTATTAAAACAAAAAAATTAAGTATTGGTTTGTGGGAGGAAAAACAGTTCGATATTAAGATAAAGAACCTGATATGGTGATGGACACCTATAAGCCCAGTACTTGGGGGGATAAAATAAGAAGGTTATGAGTTCAAAGTCAGCATGGGCTACATAGTGAGACCCATTCCAAAAGGCAAATGAGCGAAATAAATTAGTAATGGAATCGAATTTGAGTAGAATACTGCAGCTAGAATAAACCAAGAAAACTACATGCATCCTACTTACAGTAAATAATTTATCAAAGCACAAATGAGAAAGAATTTTGATTTTAATTACTGGAAAGCTTTCAGCACCAATTAGGACTGATGTGTTAAAAGTTGAACAAACAAAACAAAACAATTTGCAAAGGAAGAAATAAACGGAAATGGGAAATAGAAACATAATTGTCATGTCTGGTGGCCTTTCTTTAGCACTCAAGAAGGCTAATACCATTTAAAAAAAACAGAAATGACATTCAGATTTAAAACTATAACAAATTATTAGAAAATATTTCTTGGGATGTGGATCTAGCTCAGTGGCCTAGTATGCACAGGCCCTGGGTTTGATGTCCAGTCAGCAATCTGTTGGTAAAATATTCTGATAAGTTGACAGGAATAAAATTTTCATAATTATGAATAAATCACATTTATGAAGTTCTTAGAAATACTTTCTCACTAGAAATCAAAACTGAATAGAAAAACAGGCAGAGAATAATAAATATACAAAATAACTACCAGAAAACTCAATGAATCGGGGAGTGTATGAAATTTAGACACAGAATTATGTATTTTTATGGCTTCAATTTTTCTTACCATATATTAATTGTATAATATGAATTTAATTGTGACGTGTGTGTGTATGTGTGTGTGTGTGTGTTTGTGTGTGTGTGTACACATGCACGTGTGCCAGTACTGGGGCTTGAACTCAGGGCCTAGGCACTGTCCCTTACCTCTTTTACTCAAAGCTGGTGCTCTACCACATAAGCAGCAGCTCACTT